CTCGTCCTCTAACATTAACAAGCCCCGCCTTCTCACTCTTTCTCCTCCTTTTTCATAGGCCCATGGAAGCTGCCAGAGGAAGTTTCCGGAGGGAGGGCCCATATTCTGGGTCTGTCTGGGTGTTTCTCCTTGGTGTCTTTTTATTTTTTCTTCTTTCCCCTATTTATAAATTCAAAATAAGTTCTAAGAGTTTGAATATTCACCGTCAATACTTTGTCAGGGTTGTTTCACCTGTGTTACTACCTGGATCAAAACATCTTTTCATGAAGGAAATGTATAATATCTGATTTTTGTACTTGGTGCTAAAAATCAGTAGGTTTAGTGGTAATAACAGCATAGTTCTTCTTTAGAAAGTTGTTTCTTCCCACTTATGACTAGGAAATAATTTGTGGGGTGATATTTTGCCATCCTATTAATATCTAAGTCCCCATTAACCTTTCTCTTAATCATTTTAGAATGCATTTATGATTGTTACCTGGATTGTTTTCATTAAGAATTCAAAATTGTTGGGTGGCACCTGTGGCTCAGTGGGTAGGGGGCCGGCCCCATATACCAAGGGTGGCAGGTTCGAACCCCGCCCTGGTCAAAACTGCAACAAAAAAATAGCCAGGCATTGTGTTGGGTACCTGTAGTCCCAGCTACTTGGGAGGCTGAGGCAAGAGAATTGCCTAAGCCCAAGAGCTAGAGGTGGTTGTGAGCTGTGACACCATGGCACTCTACTGAGGGCAATAAAAGGAGACTCTGTCTCTAAAAAAAGAAAGAAAGAAAAAAAAGAATTCAAAATTGTTAACTCTAATTTTATCAGTATTTCTACATTTATTAAACAAAATTCTCTAATTAAGAGCTTTGTCTTATTAAGTAGGGCTATTTTTTAAAAAATATGAAATACAGTTCATATAAGAAAGCCATCACATTATAAAATTTAATTGTGAATTAATTACAAATATTAAGAGTGAGGAGATGGTCTAGGTAAACAATGTTTTGTTTTGTTTTGTTTTGTTTTTTTGACACAGAGTCTCCCTCAATTGTCCTGGTAACTGCCCTGGTATCACAGCTCACAGCAAACTCAAACTCTTGGGCTCAAGTGATTCTCTTCCCTCAGCTACCAAGTAACTGGGACCACAGGCGCCCTCCATAACGCTGGACTATTTTTTATTTTTTAGAGATAGGTTCTCACTCTGCTCAGGCAGGTCTTAAACTCCTGAGCTCAGATGATCCATCCTCCTCGACCTCCCAGAGTGCTAGGATTATAGGTGTGAGCCACTGTGTCTGGCCCTAAGCAATGTTTACAAATCAGTATTTTTGTTTTCTCTTTTATTGAATATTAGGACTCATATATTGGATCAGTATCAGATTTTACATGTATTTATTATCATGCATACTTTGTTTTCTGTTTGGCCAACGAGGGTTCTTCAGGGTGATCTTTTGTCCTTTGTTAGGCCCTGTCACCTTCCTAGCTTTGCGGCACCATTGTATGTCTTACATTCATTTTGTTCCTTATTCCCACTTTGGAATTGTCTTCTCTTCAAAGTTCCCTGGTTTCTTTTCAAGGAAAGGGCATGTACATTGAAAATAGAGCCAACAGGATTTCCTCCCACATCCTCCCGTGGATGTGTTACGTGGAAGAGAAAGTCAAGTTCAACTCCATGGTTTTTATCCTGAGCAACTGAAACAATGGAGTTGATGATGGCGGGCTGCAGTTGAGAGGGGGAAAGTGTTGAAGTTCAGCTTTGCATATACCGATTTTTTAAATGTTAGATAAAGACGTCTAGTAGGCAATTGGATATATTTTATGTCTAAAGCTTGACAGATGATAATATAGTAGTATTTGTCACAGAGATGAAAATTAAAACTGTGAGGCAGGATGGGCTGACAAATGGAGTAGTTTAGATAAGAAAAAGAAGAGGACTCAGGACTGAGCCACAGAGTTAAAAGACCTGAGAGAGTAAGATGAACAGGCGACTTTGTGTGTTTAACTAGCACTCTCCAGTAATATGCCAAGAATAAAAATTTGTGGTTTGTATTCCTTGATACTATTTATTAATAATGATATCTCTCTTTTCCAGGTGAAGGCCTTTCAGAGAGAACTGTAGAGATCATTCTGTCAGTCACTTTGTGTATTCTGTCAATAATTCTTCTTGGAACAGCTATCTTTGCATTTGCAAGGTAAGATTTATTTGTGTTATGTTCCCAGGATGCTTTGTGCTTACATTCCCAGGATGCTTTGCTTTATCAGTCATAGTCTAATCGGGAGACAGAAGCCATGACAGTTATTTGAATGGGAAGCATTTCTTTTTTTTAAATGATGAATAAAACATATATGTTTATCATGCACAGTATGATGTTTTAAAGCGTATATAAATCTAACCATAAAAAGAAGGAAAGACTTCCATTTGGATGGGAAACATTTCATGTAAAGAACCGGGAACTGGTAGAAATGGTTGATGAGTAAAGGAGGCAAAAGGCTGAGAGGTAGAAAGTGCATTCAAGCAGCTTTCTCTTTAGTGTCAGGGAGAGGACAGTAAAGAAAGCTCAGAAGTGGAAAGGCTCACATGGAATGGCTACATATGGGCCTATGGCCTATCAGTGTACGAAGTATGGCAGGGGGAAGAGGATGGACTGTTCTGTAGAAGCTATGATCATTATTAGACGAAGGGAAGTGGGAATTGGCAATAGAAGCCTCCCACTTTGCTGGTTGGTGTGAGCTGGAGCTGCTCAGACCGATGTGATGGGGAGAGTATGCCCTTCAGAGGCAACAAGAATTCGCTTAGGTGATCTGTTGGGCCCAAAATAAATAATAATGATGCAGCACAGGAACCCAGATTGGCAATGCCTGGTTACTCCAGTGCCCTCCACTGACAAAGATTATCATTCTGCCTGCTGGCAAAAGAAAGTGCAGGGTCCAGTTCTAATTTCACAAAGCAGGGCAAAGAAGAGTGGATTTGGTGCTGAGAGCAATGAGGTGACAACCCAAATGCAGACGCTTCCAGGCCTCCTACATTCTTTTGGAATGATTTATAACTCTGGTGTCTAATTTAAAATATTTCAATCAGATTTGAATTTTAGAGTTTACACAGCAGAGCTCATTTTTACAAGGAGGACACCACCTGTAAAATGTCGTACTTCCTTATATGGTGGCCCCTCTTGTCGTGCTCACTTTATCACACGGCTGTGCTGAGCCTTCCAAGCGTCCCTTCCAGTTCCTTATACCAGCTTTCTAATTCCCATGCTGTTTACAGGACCTCTGTGCAAATGTTACTTCTGACCTAAAATCGAGTTTCCTAAGGCAGATCGTCAGGTTAAAGAGATCCTATATTTGAAAAATAACCACTAATTCCCCGAATAGCTCATTAGAATATTTTAACTGAAGAATGTTCTGTATTCTGAATGCCATGCCTCAGCTGTTTCATCACAAATCTCTTAAATCATCATTTTAATGGGTTATCTGAAAGGCTCTTGAAAAAGATTATTTTCCCTGCACCACATACTATTTGTATATTTTGAAGTTTAGTGAGAGAAAGCTATTATATCAGGCACTTTGAAAGATACAGGTCTCGTCCCTGCCCTGCAGTGGGGTGTGTGTCATATCATTTCCCTGCTTCAAAATCTTCTCAGTTATTTCCTGGCATGATGAACTCCTTACGTGGGCAGAAAATGGTTCCCCCTTTCCCTAAAACTGTCCTACACACTTCTCTTCAGCCAAAGGGGGGTCTGTTCTCACCTGAATATTCCTGAGAGTTTTACACACCTCTGCGCTCAGCCTAAAATCTGCTCCATCTCCTTTCTCCTCCTGCCACATCAAGGTCAAATTCTGCTTCTTCACTTCCTGCAAATAATAGTAGTTATAATATCATATAATATTGTTATAACTAATCAGGCATTGTCTTACGAGTTGTAATTTGAATTTTTTTCTTTTTATGCTTTTTCTACATTTAGATCCTTTCTTTGACTAACCCCGAGGGTAGGGAACATGTTTTATACTTTTATCCCATCCTTAATACCCGACTCATAATTAATAAATATTTGAAATGTAATAGATAGACTGGCTAAATATTACTTAATAACATGCCATACTGTGTCAAGGGGAAATGAGCCTGAAAAGGGCTTAAAATAAAAAGGTTTTGATTTAATTCTCAGACTCATGTGATTTTTATTTTTGAACCTGAGTTTTAAAGTAAAGATAATATTATGTATATCATAATATAAAAAAATCAATGCGATCATTCAAAGGACTCTTTTACGTGTCATGTTTTCATGCATGTAAATACAATGGAGCTTTGTCCTATTGATGCCATTGAATTATTTCCACTTTGGCATTTTTCTTTTTATGACAAATCGAAGTGACAGCTAGAGGGAGGAGAAACAGGCTCATGCCATCGGTCTCCTTGACTTTATAGTTTTAATATGCTGATGGCTCTGACCTTGACCAGCTAGTTCTCATGAAGTTTGGAATTTCAGACCAACAACTTGCTTACAAAAAAAAAAATAGAATATAGAATAGACTCTATAGAATTAAAACAGGAAAGAAGAATTTGACTAGCTATAAATGTGCAACGTATTCAGAGAAGCGATTTTAATATTTGATTGGGTGTCTTTATTTAAAAAGAAAACAAAATCTATCATCTGATTTCTCTACTATTCCTTTCTTGGGCTCCATGGCACTTGGTTTAGGATTCGACAGAAGCAGAAAGAGGGTGGTACCTACTCTCCTCGGGATGCAGAAATTATTGACACTAAATTCAAGCTGGACCAGCTCATCACAGTGGCAGACCTGGAACTGAAGGACGAGAGATTAACGCGGTGAGCACACTCCTCTGGGTGAACAGTGGTCCAGAGGGCCTGGAGCCATGACCCTATTCTGACCTATGCTTGTTGGAAGTGTTTGTAGGGCTCCAATTTACACAGGTCACAGAGATCTTCTTTCAAAGAGTGACCTCCGTCTTCTACACACTTCTCACTGGTGTTCGGAAAATCACTTAATCTTCCTAATATTTTGAGTTCAATGTGAACCTCGGACTATAATGTTCAACCAAGATTTTTCTTTTCCTGAGACAAAATATTTTTACACATTAAACCTTTGACATTATGTTTAATAATTCACTTCATAGGATTTATTTTTTACATCAGATTTTTCTGGACGGGTCTACATTTTTAATCATAAATGTAGAGTAATTGAATTTATAACGACTCGATATTATTTATATCATTTTTAGAAGAGCTGTTGTAGCTTATTTTAATACAAAATTACAGGCAAGTCTAAATTGTATGTGACATCATTTTAAAAACTGCTTGGTATTCTAAAATGAAATATCAGGTAAAAAATTACCTAGAAGGAAAAGTTAGAACGTGTGTACTAAATGTGTATCGTTGGTGTGCTGCGAATAGCAAAGGGAATAATTTTGAAGGAAAAATAACTTTAAATCCTTTTAAAAGTATTATAAATTATTCAAAATGTTGGCACATTTAAAAAGTTATCCAGAAAATTCATTTAATTCTTAATAAAAGCTATTAGGCTATTCTCCTAAGTTTAGATTTTTATGAGATCCATATATGTGATGTGTATAAACACAAGATAATTTTTACCAAGTACTTGTACAGCTTTGTTAAAATTTAAAAAATTTTGAAAATACAAAGCATCAAAGGTCTTGGAGTTCAAGAATTAATCATTTGCAGTTGTCACTTATAAAAGTCTGTCTTTACCTAGTAGGTTGATTTTGCAAGGGTATTTCTAGCACATCTAAAAATATCTAATATGTGCTGCAAATGTATCATCTGCTAAACAGGGTCCTTCCAAATGCTGTAAAATGAAGGTTGTTCCATGTTTTCTTCTAAATTTCTCGGAAATTTGGTTTGTTGGATGTGAAAAGTTACTTTTTTAGCATTGGTCTTTGTTTATATTCTAATATAGAGTTTCAATACAAAATGGGTAGTCTTCCAAACGCCCGTGTGTAAGTTGGTTGTATATTACCTGCAGCATAGTTTTTAAAATAAGCAACATTATGTGTAAAAGATCAAATATTATGCATCTTACTGGAATCAACAAAAGATTCCAGGAGTAATCCCCCTATGTTAAACCATCTCAAGGAAAATTAGAGCATTGCCCGTACTAGACTGTCTCAGTCTCGGCTGGGTCATTCTGCATAGTCAAAATAAAAATTATTTCTCCTCCTGTCCCCAGCACGGGCCAACTAAATTTCAACCGTACCCTTTCCACTTCCTTTCTTTACTCTTCTCTGAACTCCTTGTCTCCTCTGCAGCCCTTTGGCTCCTACCCCTTCTTATACATCTGAGGTTGCATAAGAAGTAAGATTCAAATCTCTCCATGCCATTCATTTTAGCTATTTGAATAATTTAATTGTATCTGCTCATTTGAATACATGAACTTGGAAAACTGTTAACACTTGTATAGCACTTTCACTGAAAAAAATAATCTTTAGTAACCACCTAAAAGTCATGAGTAAGTAGATATTTAGGAAATATGATACTATGAAGTAAAAAAACAACTATATTTACACTTGATATATTATGCTTTTAAACAGTTTGGGGGAAAGTATTCCTTACCAAAGAGTAACCTAGGCAGTCTGGGTGTGATTAGATTCCCTAAGCTCGGTGTGTTTTCATGGCTTGCTCCTTTCTCCAATTCTGAACACTGAGGACAGCAATTATCAAAAAGTTATAAGCTTTTTGTTTTTATTTTTTCACAATGAGTTCATGGCAGCTACAGAGAAGTTTCAGATAATGGAGAGGGTAGACAAGGCCTGTGTAGATTGCTTATTATTCGATGTTTAGAGACTGCCTTATTTGACCTTGACTCCTTATTATTTATTTTCCTACTTCTTTGTTTATTTAATCATAGGTCACGTTATTTGTAAAGGATTTAGAAGTAAAATAATAATATATGTTAAGTAATTTCTAGTATAGTAATATATCCTAAATAATTTCTAAATAGTTTCTATTTAGGACATAGAAAATTAGTATATATTACCCCTTTGTAATAGCCAGGCTGGCAATACTAGTTTTCATGCTTTTCACTTTCTTATTTGCTATGATTCTGGCATAACTGTACAGGTATAATATACTTGCTTTGTAATTGTAAAGGTACATAACAATATGCTGTGCTGGTTTTGCTGCAAAAATTCATTGAAATAACTATTCAGTGATTTGGACATTAACCTTTCAATACCCAGATCTCTCTCCATCTTTACTATTATTTCAAGACTTTTTATATTTATCAAGTCACTAATAAATTATAAAAAAAGATTAGAAAAAATAATAACTAGTGGTTTCATAATTAGCTGTATGCACATATGCTTGGGGCTGTCCTTCAGTGAAGCTTTTTTTTGAGACAGAGTTTCATTATGTTACTCTCGATAGAGTGCCATGGAGTCATAGCTCACAGCAACCTTAAACTCTTGGGCTTAAGCGACTCTCTTGCCTCAGCCTCCCAGTAACTGGGACTACCAGGCACCTGCCACAACACCCAGCTATTTTTTCTTGCAGTTGTCATTGCTGTTTATCTGGCCCAGGCGGGGTTCGAGCCCACCAGCCTCGGTGTACGTGGCTGATGCTGTAACCACTGCGTTACAGGTGCCAAACCTTCTGTGAAGCTCTTAATGCCCTTTCCCTGATTTTGGAGTGCTTAAAGGATAAGTCCATTCAGAGTCAGAGATTAAAGGTAGATTCTGAGAGTAAATAATCAAGGAATTTAAATGAGTGTTCTAAATGTGGGGTTAACTCTTGCCTTGGCTTTGTTACAGGCAGGAAAGAACTTTGATAATTTCCTTTAAATTTTTACCCATAGTCCCTTTCTCCATGAGAGTTAGGCATCATCTTTTTCTCCCAACCTGCCAAATTTTTTATGCTACATAGAGCTTATTTTTTTATTTATTTTTATTTTTTTTTGAGACAGAGCCTCAAGTGGTTGCCCTGGGTAGAATGCCGTGGCATCACAGCGCACAGCAACCTCCAACT